AAGACAAAAGAAATTTCACACCTTCTATTTTAGAAAACTGAATTTTCCCCAAAAGGATCGTAGTTTCGGAGCTATGTCTGAGTTACAGTAACAACTCCATGTGAGGAGCCGACGTGTAGACAATCGCTGAGCCTGAGCCAGAGAGTTCTCATTCGCTGGAAAAAAAAACACACACACACAAGGTGTAGAGTCTATAGATCATATGGCCAAACAAACATCATCTGTGAGATTCCGACCCCCCAACGGCTGGATAGACTGGTCAACCAAAACATCCGAACCTTCCAGAATGGTAGTGAACGCAATGGTTCGGTTTCAAACATCAAGAGTGCTTCTCAAAACGACGACTGAACTGCAAGCTACAGTCTCGGTCCTGACTTGTAAATAGAGCAAAACCACACATCTCACAAACACCCTTAGCGCCATCCTGCCTGGTAGCTGCCTAAATTCTGTCCACTTCGCCTGGCATTGTGCAAATTTGTCAGACTGCAGGTGTGGGCTGCAGAGCTGTCTGGTCCAAACATGTATCAACAAAAAGCACCCTGTAGTAGCTCTAACTTCTGAAGACCAGTTCACTGCGCAAAAGACGTTTCAACACTTGACCAACTTCCCAAATGTGTCAGGAACGAACCCAAGGAGGCTTTTGCAAGTATATATCTGTACAGCAGTTCACACGAAGTTCACACTCATCTCCACGCTCTATGCAAGTTGTCGGGCTTGACTTCGAAGAAGATAACAAATAACTGCTCACTCAGCACACCCCCATCGTTTCAAGGAAACTTGGTTTGCAGGAGCCAAACTCGCAGGATTCTGCCTGCGTCGAGAGGCGCAGGTGAAGGCCAAACCAAAGCAAAGGGCCTCGGCCATGAAGTCAGGGCTTGACATGCTGCAACCAGCAATGGCACAATAGAAGGCTTCCGACATTACAGCAACCCACTTGAATCATGGCAGTATCGATTGTTTCCTATCAATCTTACTCTAAAATCACGGTACCTTTTACAGCTCTGCCCACCACACCCAGCCCCAGCTTGTCCGATGCACCGAGCCGCAGCGCCGGCCGCTTCCCTCC